GTGGTTCCGCAGAGGCAGCGGTTCTTGGACTCTGCCATGCCGGGCCCGCAAGCCGGTGCCAGGATTGACTTTTCTTGGAATGTGCTTCGGCTTCCGAAGGCAATGAGAGTTAGCGGGGGTTGATGAATATACCCTTCGGCCCCAAAATGATGGGCAACTTTGCCCATTTAGCGGTGAAAGCCATATTTTTGGGGCGGTTTCCCTGTTTAATGGTCACCTCATGCAAAGGACCCTTTGATCAATGAGAGATGTCCCTGACCCAAGGTGTAAACTTCAGCACCGCGCTTGCGCTGCTGTCTTCAGTATCTGGGGCAAAGAGGCTGGGCCCCCAACACCTGTGGGTGGACAGCTCTGACGGGGCGAGTGTCACATGGCAGGTGGAGTTGCAGCGCAGGGCCCGGGTCGCGGCCTTGGCTCCAGGAGCGCTGCAGCGACAGAGTGCAGCCAGGCGAAAGACCGCCGAGCCTTGCTGACCGCCGTGGATCCGCCGCAGTTCGATCCGGGCATGCGGCCCCACTCTGAAAGCATGAAAGCTATGAAGACATGTTGGAGCCAGACCGTGGCCAGGCGTTCAGTCTTTGGAAAGAGCAAGGTGCGGCTTGGGCGGCACTGCTTGATGCTTGCTGAGCCGCACAGGTGCCAAGGAGCTAAAGGAGGATTTTAACGAGCTTTGGCTGAAGGCGAGCAGTTCGTTGACCCTTCGTCCTGGTGGTTGCCTTGATGCTCAAACTTTGTGTGTTGGTTTTGGTCGCTGCTTGTGGTGCACTTTCCGGCTGGTGCTTTTCTATCTTGCGTTGGCTTGTGGTTTCACATCGTCCAACCTGCGTCGTTCCTCAATATGCACCGCCGCAAACTAGAAGATTCAGTCGCGTTGTAGAGCTGCGTCCTGGCTTCTTTCAGCGGTGCTCTGTGGTCATTTCTTCTTGACATGGAAAAGACCAGCAGCAAGGAGACCCAGTTCCGCAAAGGGACGCAGTTTTCCCTTAGTTTATTTACCAACTCCAAAAGGGAGGCGGTTCCGGTCCCAGCGCGGAGCTGTGGAGGCCATGCTGCAGCACTTTGCCGCAAGGCCTGCTCTGGGAACGCGGCCAGGGACTCGTTCCGGCGGCCTTCTCAACGGAACAGCTAGGGTGTGTCTTGTTTTCAGGGTACCCTCTGTTTTTGTGGTTTCCTGTGATCATCAAATTTGGCGTGTCATGGAAATCAAAGTCCGTTTCTTGGCAGAGAGGTGGATGCTTGGTTGAAACGCATACGCCATCGGACCGAACGCCTTTTTGGGCGGCATGTTCAAGGGAAGGCACATTCTTCAAATGAGTTTCGCCTATTGAGGAGAGCCTTCAATCGATTCTCGATTGCCAATGGTTCTTTGTTCGCCACTATGGCCACCTTTGAGTGAAGGAGCTGCAAAACTGGCTGAGGACATGCTGATGATCATGGCTGCATTGTGAGGGGAGCTGCCAAGCAGACATTATCATCAAAAAGAGCTGGCAGCCTACTTAGTTTGCAAGAGGAAATGCTTTCAAGTCCAAGTCTTGTTGGCAAAGGATGAAGCGCAGTGACTGCAGTGGTTGACGCCTGCTAGCAAGCCAACACCGAACAGGGATTCGAGGTCTGTGCAAGCGGCTCGGAAAGAGTGGATCGCATCCAGTCAAGTTTGCGCCACTTGCAGGGGGGGGAAAAGCAGCGGCTGCAGTGAACGATCAAAGATCACGCCTAGCTTATTGTCGAGACAGCTGTTGCAGTGCAGCCATTGCTGAATTCGTGGCATGTGTCGCAAGAGTGACTGTGTCGACGGCCCGGGGTGAAAAAAAAAAAACCGGCTGTCTCACGCCATGACCCAACTTGGAACTTGGGGGACTCAGCATGCACTCAGCTTTTAGCTCCGGTTGCACTTGGGTTCAATGGATTTGTGAGCTTTCAGATGACCGGGCCCACACCGGCAATGGCTTCACCGAACCATGCGGCTGCAGAGCCGAACAGTGAGGACGCAGAAATGAAGGCAAAGGCAGAGGAGAGGACATCGAAGAAGGAGACGGAGGAGAAGCACGACGGAGATTCAGATGAGAATGAAGAGGTTGAGAGGGACGAGAAAGCCATGAAAGAGACAGAAGAGAAGGATGAGAAGGACCAGCATCACATGAACAACCATATTTTAGTCATGACCCAAAACATGCTTCTATGACAAACCAAAATCTAAGCAGTGCTAGTAACGTGGGACAGTTCCAGCTTTGCTGACGTTATCACCACTTGAAAGTCGTTCTAAAACCCTTGAATTGTTTTGCAGAATGAGGAGGAGGTTCGCTTTTTTTTTGCGGTTTGTGTAGGGTTCGAGTCGCGGAAGCTCCGCGGAAGCGCGGCGGAAGCTTATGACTAAAAAGTAGCACGTGTTCAGATCCCGTGCTTTGATGACGATATGTAACGTTTTTTCTTTGTTTGTCTGCAGCGCGGAAGCTCTGCGGAAGCTCCGCGCAAGCTTTGTATGTGGGAGTCGTTCTAAAGGTCCTTGTAGTACTCTTAACCACAAAGTTGCGATTTTCGAGCTGGAGCTGTGGAAGTGTACTTCGCGCGCGCTACGCTTGCACTACAAAGCTGCGATTTTCGAGCTGGAGCTGCGGAAGTGTACTTCGCACACTACACTACCAAGCTGCGAGCGCGGATACATTCACAAGAAAGGCTGCGTCGCCCTGTTCCTCTCATTGAAAGAGATAGGAGCCTTACAGGCAGTTGCAGGCTTTGGGCTTGCATCTGGCCACAGGCCATCCATGTTGAGATCCCACTATCTACCTATCTACACAAGCCTTTGTGCCGTATAGCGCAACCTGGCAAAAGGGTTTGTCCTTCTGAGACTGCCTGACGGGACTCGACGGCGTTGGATCATCCAGCAAAACCAATGAGACCTTCCCCCCCCATAAAAGAAATGCAACAGCCCGGAGAAAAGGCAACACAAGCCGCCCATCCGATCACCATCATGCCCCCCACTGCAACTTACACATGCACAGAGAGGAGCTCCAGTTCTGTTTTCTGTTTTGGGTGGGCACTTGACGTCCCGTCAGGACGCCCAGGGTGGGCACTTTGACTTCACGCGCATCCGCGACATGGCTGCGGAGCTGCGCAGCATCCACGACATTGCGGCGGAGCTGCCGAGCATGCACGACGTGGCCGCGGAGCTGTCCACACGAGCCACGGAGCTGTCGGCCAAAGCACAGGAGATGTGGACGTGTGAAAGAAGTCGTGGTTTTCAAGTGGGTGTGACTGGTTTGCGGTTCGAGCTCTTTAAGAATGGAGCTCACAAAAGCAAACAGTGCGAATCCCCCAAAGCGCGTGGACCCTTGGCAGGCCACAGCCACCGAGCTCTCGGCAAAGGCGCAGGCCACAGCCACCGAGCTCTCGGCAAAGGCGCAGGCGACAGCCACCGAGCTCACGGCAAAGGCGCAGGCCACAGCCACTGAGCTCTCGGCAAAAGGACAGGCTATGGCAACGGAGCTCTCAGCGAAGGCACGGGGTTCAGCGTGCGGCAAATTTGAGGATGCAAGCCAGTCTGTGCTGCAACACGCATTATGAGAAGACAGGAATGCTTAGCAAAGGTTGCGCTTCGTTTCTGAAGTTCTTTTCGGGGGATCCACACACCTTCAGTTTCACGTTGGTCGTTTTGATTCAATTTGCCTCCGGATCCCTCACACCTACGCTCCAGGCGCACGAACTGTCGGACTCCATCTTTAACCACATGTTCCGTTACGAGTCTGCAGTGGAGGCGCGGCGCCGCGCCTTGATGCTCGTGGACGTGCTGGTGGCCTCTTGTGCTGAATCTGTCGCAACATGCGTTTCGATGCGTTGCAATGTATGTTGTTGGTGGTCCCAGTAGCGTGAGGACGGCCTCACATGGCAGCCAATGCCAGAGACCCAAATGAGGTTTGGTCACAACTACCAGTTGTCTATGTATGGTTCATGTGGGTGGGACATGCTGGGCGCAGCAGTACTTTAACTTGATATGTCGTGTATGTCCAAATAGGAGAAGCGCGGGCCGGGTCTTCGACAGATCAAGATGCAATTCGCCCACCAGAGGCAGACTATAGAATGTGTCCTAGTTTGCGTCATTCCTTTTTGGCCTTCTCATTTCGAGGTGGAATAAGATGGACAATGCGTTCCTTCTTTTTTTCCTTCCATCCAGTGCCCCCCTTTCGTTCATTCTGTGGATGGACGAAATCCTGCCCCACCTAAGAAGCCCTGGTTTCTGATTCGATTCCCTGTAAATTCCAACAAGCCATAAGTTTCAACCATGGTTTCCAAGTGGTGCAAAATGGATTTCGCTACCATCCACAGTATTTCTCACCACAGCCACCAACAAGGATGCCTACGGCCCTATGGTTCTGCACTTTAAAGTGGTGGTTCTCCTGGTAACGTGGATTTCGACCATCCACAGTTGCTTTTCTTGAGTTTCTCAGGAGCGGCACAGTGCCGGGCGCCTGAAGCGGCGCTGGGTGCTGGCGGCCACTTGCGGGTGCTTCTGCTACCTGCGCTACGTGCTGCCGGTGCTGGCCTGCTGGGGCACCCGGCGCTGGGAGCAGCCCTTCAGCGCAACGGGGGATGTGCTGTTTTTGGAGCAGAAAAAACAAAACAGAGCAGAAAAAACACAAAGCAGAACAGAACAGAACGGGATGTTTTTTTTTTGGAACAGAAAATCACCGAACACATGCGAAGCACGTGGGGGGTGATCAACAGGTCCGATGAACATGGGATGACCACTGGTTGGAAAACCACTAAACCGATGATATGTCCCGCTAAATGGGAACACAGTTGCATGGCCATTCGGGGGCCAGAAGTATTACTCAACACCCATATCCATCCCCGTAAATTTGAGAGGTTTTCAAGGCGGCAACCAGATGAAAGAAGGACCATGCCTGCATTTTGGCATCTTGGTGTCCGGAGGCTTGGCCCGTGACTTCTGTCAGGGTGACATCCTCCAGACCAAAGCCTTGCCGGGAAGCACGCATAGTCGAGCTTTGGTTTGAATCCAAGCCGTCTATGTGCATCGGAGGACCGTGGATGCCAACGAGTTCGAGGAAACCGTAGGTGGCCACAATTCCCATGTCAGCTTTGCCGTGCTGGTTGTCGTCTCTTTGGGTGCCTTGTCTTAGAGTCGCTGCCTTTGGCTTTACATATCGGCTTTGACATAAGCCCTACACTGCCCTTACAAGTGGCATCCATTACATGGGGGTTGATTAATTTTCCTCGCCCCCAAATGACCATGAATAACTTTTCCCATTTGGTGAACGTCTCCCTGGTCACCCCATGTTCGGACCTTCTGATCAACCCATGGGCCCAAACTTGGAATGAGGGAATGAACCTGGACCCCCAGGTTCCTTGAAGAAAACCCACCACCAGGACACGGTTTTTCTCGACGTTCATGCGCCACTCCTCATTCCATCTCTCACATCTCTCAAATCCACTGACCTCAGGTGAGCCGCAATCAAAACCTGGGTAGATGAAGGTTAGTAAGGGACACTCCCAACCATAAATAGCTGCGGCCGCCTTCTTATTTCTTTACATGGTTCTGGGTAGACCATTTTGTTACCGGGTTTTGATTATGACTCAGGTTACCTCTCCTTGCTGCACTTCTCCTCCCGGCTCATGGAGGCCCGAGTGCCCATCCAGCAGAGCATCTTCGAGACGCTGGTGGTCTACAACATGACCCAGTTCCTCTTCAACGCCTTTGTGTCTGGGGAGCTGCTGCGTGAAGCATGGGCGCTCCATGGCTGGCCGAAAATTTTGGGGCTGGCGGAAATGGTGGCGTTCGAACACTGGGAAGGCAATTCGGAAGAAGACTATCACGGGTCAGAGCATAGTTTGTTGTCAATGTATTGAAGCGGCTGGAGCAGAATACGGTAACGAAGGATCAGAAAGGAACACATAAGGGATGCTAGTGGCTAGTCTTTCCAACAATTACAAATCTATTATGTTGAGCAAAGCAAGACGATTTAACATAGCTGATTCCGTCTCTCAAGATACTGTGCAAGCCGGAAGGAACGACCGTGGTCCACCCCAAAATTGGCTACCACAGTCTTTTTGTTCTGCACGGGAATCGGCCAGCTTTCAAGCGTTTGCGAGCTCAGGCAGGGCTTCAGAAGGCCTTGGGGCAATGTCTTCACCTACAGCAAGGCTTGCCGTACGGGTCTGGGGGGTGTCACACTCAAGCGACAAATGGGTGTGGCTCAAAATTATTCAGCTGGGGTTACGCAGGTTTTGGTCTACCTTCCTATTTACCAGGGTTCCATTTTGCACCCCCATTTTTGAGCCACACCCAAATCCTATGACCCCAACATGGACAGCAAATTCGTTGCTCTCCGCAGACTGAAAGTCGTTATTTGGCCCTTCAAGCTGGGCAGCTTTGGTATCCCTGAAATTGGGTCTGTGGCTGCGTGATGCTGCGTGTGTCACAGTGTGCTTGAGCCGAAACATGCCATTCCATGTGAGACTGGCCAATTCCAGGACTTACAAAATTTGCATCATTTGCCGCAGGTCCCACATCGGCGCATGTCCCTTAAATTGCGGCAAAGTTGATGTGTGAGGAGGGCCATCGACTTGGCTATTTGATCTGGCTGCATTACCATGGCTGCCAACTCGAGCTCTTGGATACGACTCTTGCCCGGAAGCTCATTTAGTCGCTTCAAATGGCTGAGGCATGAGTCAGCATCAGCCACCAGCACACAAGAAAACACATTGCCGCCCCAAAAAGTCAGACGTGGTGAATGGGCTCAGGCTGTTTGTCGTAATCCGCAAGAGCCTTGGCAGCAATAAGTTCGCGCCTGACCTGATGTGAAATCTGTCGCCTGGAAACACGGAACAGGCGGGAGGAGTCTCATAGAAAAGTGCTGAGGCGTGTTTTGCAAATTCCAATCTCACCTAAATCAACCATAGTCTCTACACGATAGACAGGGGACATGTTATCGATCGCTAAGGAAGTTTCAGAAGATCACCTTCCTTCACGTATGGTCTGAGTCTGAGAATGCGGCATGAACCTGTAAGGCCTCCTGAGGGTCAGTGGGCGTTTGGTGCATGAGGCTTCGCATACTCAACATGTGGGGCTGGTGGTTTGCGTGCCGCTATGCCTGTGGTGGTGACACTTATTTCCCTGCAGCGGTCAACTCTGCCACTCGAGCTGCTGCTGGGTTGCAAGTATGTAGGGTGAACAACATGGACAGCAGGAAAGTTGGAGCCCGTGCACGCAATTGACTGAGCAAGGCACATTGCAGACTCAGCACCACCACTTTGCAACTTTCTTCAAGAGATTACCAGGTTTACGTGCGGCTGGCGTAGGTTTGCTTCAGGTTTGGATGTGTTGGCTGTCTTGAGTATACTGCTACACTGCAAGACAATCTGGATCTGAGAAGCACGGTGCACCAGGAGTCATGTTTGGTCGGTGCATTGCAACTTTGACTCGAGGTTGTATATGCCTTTTACAGCTGGTCGCTCTTAACAGAGCGCGGAGTTCCTTTGGTGCAGAAGGCACACGTCACTGAACTCCAAATGTTCCAGCTGCCGAGCTGCAAGCACTTGTGTTTCCGGCGCTTCCAGCTCAATATGCTTCAGTGTGAGGCAACTACGTCAGGGTTAGCTTTCTCTCGAGTTAGCTTTGGAGCCACACAATTCACATTCCCTTAAGTATGTTGCACACGCCGGCTATCTGATTCAAGGCCTAACCGATCTAGCTCCTTTTGTGCTTGGGGTTTGCGCCTTGACCCCTGCACCAAGGTTCGCCATTTGCGCGTGCCATGCGTTGTCACGACCTTAGATGGCTGTGTTGTGCTCTTCATGCTGCTGGCGCGAATCGACATGTGTGGCTCATGTTTACAAGACATGTCTGATCTTTTAGCACGGGACTCCATCCCAAGGGTGTCCACAGGTCGCCAATTCACGCGCTAGCAGCAGCTGAGCACAAGTCGCTGGCTTGGTGAAAGCCGAGGTTTTGTGTCTACAATTTCTGGAATATGCAGATCCCTAGAGCCGTTTTGCTGATTTATTTTCTGTGTATGATGAATCTTTGCTGCAGTTGACTCGACTTTCGTAGCATGGCAAGCAGAGCATACACGAGCGATTTGCCAAACAACTGGGTTTCTCACTGTTCACTTGTTGCTCCCCTGCAAATTCAGATGGAACCAAAAAAGGGGTTCCCAAAGGAGATGCCTCTTCTATTTTTTTTTCGTTAGGAGTTCCATTGCCATGTGAATCTGCCGGAGGGTACTTCACCGATACGCGTCACTTTTCTGAAGCCCATGCATTTTGAGGAATGGGCTGATGCTCTACACCGACTTTCACTATCAAGAAGAAGGTACCTCGGAATCAGAACGCGAGCAGCTGGCACTGGAGCGGCAGCCCAAAGGTGTGGTATACCGTACTTCGTTCGCATGTTGATGCCATGCAAAGCAAATTGGATACCTGAGGTAAGAGTGAGGCCAGACTGCAGCAATCGCGGAAGGCTGGAAAGCACAGCACCTTTTTTTCATGATTGCTTCGATCGTGTCTTGGCCACGGGACATGCATTGGCAGGTTAGCATAGCATTCGACTCGAGCGGTTGGATGCACCTTGTCTGACACCAGTCAGCTGAAACCACCGGATCAGCCTGCTTGGCAGCGATCCTTTGGTCAGACTTTGGTCCACTGCAAAATTAACTATCCATGTGTTGCTGGTGCAGCGCTCGAGGAGCACTGGCCGCTGGCTAAAAGCATATTGTCACTTGCCTCGACTGGTGTGAGGTACTGCTATCATTTCGGTGTGGCATCTTGGCTTCGGGAGCACATCATACCTGACGACATGACCCCGGAGGCAGCTTTTTCCGAAGCTCGATCGGGCTCTGAGCGTTGCTTCATGTGCGCGAGCGGTGAGTTGGTGGGTCGCTGCTTAGCTTAGCTTACAGCAAAAACACTAGGCTCCACTTGTGGATTGAGGCCTGAGACACTTTGGCCTAGGACTCACTTTTCAGCTGCTTACCCATTAGAATCCGCAAAATGGAAGGTTTGAACATGGGTTAATGAAAAGGTGTTTGCAAGAAATCATGGATTCGGTGACCATTTGGTGTTGGTTTGAATCCCTGCAGGAGTATTCATCAGCTGCCACATGCAAAGTCAAACAATGATGGCTTCCTTGCAAGGGCCGGCACAGTGTTGCATGAAGGACACAAAATTCAACCAGATGCGGGGGAATCTTTGGGAAGGTATGTCCACTTTCATCTCTTGTTGTGGCTTGTTCCTTGTTGAACGATCCTGAAAGTGAATCTTCTTGGACCGACGCATGTCGTTGCCTCGGTCCCAATTCTCGCAGCCCGAAAAAAGGCAGGCGCAGTCTATTGTGTTCTCTGTCTTACGACAATGGCATCGGGCACCTTCCAGACCAAAACGTACCAAAACGAGCCCCTCATTTGTGAAGTGACCTTCCCCAAGCTCAACATATGGCAGGCTGGCAGGTGTCCGTTTTTGCATGCTTGGTGCATGCCACCCTCTCTCTCTCTCTCTCTCTCTCTCTCTCTCTCCTCATGTCGGTCTTCAAAAGGCATCTTGAAGTCTCAGTCTCAGTCGCCGAAAAAAGAAACGAGCAAGAGGCGGCTTGCACGGACGCGTACCCGGAGAACCTGAGCTTCAGCGGCTCCTCTGGCGGCGCGCTGGTGGCCACAGTGCTGGGCACGGGGCTTCAGCCGTCGGACGTCTTCGAGATGGTCCTTCGGAGCCCCGGCCAGAGGTGCCGTCGGTGTGGCATGCCGTAGGAGTTTTCAGCTATCGCGCCATGTTTCCCGTTTGTGGGACAAAGACCGGGCCAGAAGTGGCCAGGTTTTGGTTGGAAACCGCCAGAAATCCAGCGAACCCGGAGTGACCCCTGTGAGATGTGGGAATGGGAGAGCGACCGGAACCACCGGAAAGGACAGTTTGGTTAAAAGATTTCGTGGCTTTCATGGGGATGAAAAATGGTTGCGAAAATGAGCGCCCAGCAAACCTCTGAAAGACCAGCATGGAAAGGGCTGGACATGACATACCACATGTGCCGTGGAGCATGCCAAAAGTCTTCAGGAACGATAGGGTTACAAAAAAGAAACGAAGGAAAACTCGAGTAAACATGGTTTTGCGTAAGGGATACCCTTATGCAAGGAAATGAGCAGCTGCCTAAGCCTACTTGCTTTGATACACTTGTACTGAAAAGTTGTGACTTTCGAGCTGGAACCCTGTTGTGGGAGCATGTTTGTTGCCCATCGCGATACCTCATCCCTGAAGTGAAGAATTAGACAGAAGTGAGCAAGTCCCAGTACGCGGACGAGGACACGAAGCAGAAGAGCGAGAAGGAAGAAAAAATAATAAGAAGAAGAATAAGAAGAAGGAATAAGGTTAATAACTTGGAACAAGCAGGGACAATTGCAAATGCGAAACAGATTCATGCAGGCACGCGCACGCAGAAGTGGCCGGGCCGAACAAACGCGCGCATGGGCTTGAAGAAGCCGCTCCGCCAGGCGTTTCGTCTCTAATGTAATTGAGGACACTACCATTTGAAGTAGTTGAGGACGAGTGTCGTGGCATGCGAGCATTGGCATCTGTGCTGGCAAAACAAGCGGCTGTGGGTCAAAACCAATGGTACCATTTTGGGGTAGGTGCGCCACCCATTTTGGTCTATTTTCAAAGGAAGTTTAGAAGGAACTTCCGTGTTACGGCAACTAATTGAAAGCCAGCTCTCTGAGACAAGATACAAGAGAAGGAATAAGCCCGCGAGAAAAACTGCGCGCGCGTGTGGCAGGGGAAGAGAAAGTCGTAAAAAAGCGTGGCCCTGTGCGTGAATCGGCGTTTTCGAAGATAAGAAAGTCGCAAAAAAGCGTGGCCCTGTGCGTGAATTGACGTCTCCGGAGTTGCGAAAGCTAGCCTGTTCGCGGCGTCTGGTCGGAGCGGGTTCGGAGCATGTTCGGAGCGGTCTCGGACTGCGTTCGGCGCCGGGCCCATTGGCACGGCAACGCAGAGGTTTCGCAAGGATTGAATTGAATGGCAGGCGCAGCACGTTGGCAAGGTCTGGCGCAGATTTCGTGGCAGGGGCAGCACTTTCGCAATTTCAAGTTTTCCCAAGGCTTGAAATGCGTGGCAGGCGCAGCACTTTCGCAAGGCCACGTACAGATTTCATGGCAGGTGCAGCACTTCCGCAAGGTCAAGTACAGATTCGGCGCAGCACTTTCGCAAGGTCAAGTACAGAATTCGTGGCAGGCGTCAAGTGCAGAATTCGTGGCAGGCGCAGTACTTTCGCAAGGTCAAGTAAAGATTTCGTGGCACTTCCGCAGCTGGGGCTTAAAAATCGCAACTTTTAAGTACGAAAGTAGTGGGGCTCGAAAATCGCAACTTTTAAGTACGAAAGTAGTACGCGAAGTCCACTTTCGCAGCTGGGGCTCGAAATCGCAACTTTTAAGTACGCGAAGTCCACTTTCGCAGCTGGGGCTTGAAAATCGCAACTTTTAAGTACGAAAGTAGTACGTGAAGTCCACTTTCGAAAATCGCAACTTTTAAGTATGAAAGTAGTACGCGAAGTCAACTGTCGGGGATTGAAAATCACAACTTTTAAGCGGAGATATAAATGGATAGATAGATAGATCGATAATCCATAGACAGATAAAGAGATAGCTAGAGAGATAGATAGAAAGAGAGATAGACAGAGAGATAGATAGATAGATAGATAGATAGATAGATAGATAGAGAGAGAGAGAGAGAGATGATAGATAGATAGACGGAGAGAGAGATAAAGAGATAGAGAGATAGATAGATAGATAAATAGATAGCGAGAGAGAGAGAGATAGATAGATAGATGAATAGAGATAGAGAGAGGAAAGAAAGGAAGAAAGGAAGAATGACGGAGAAACAGGAAACAATGAAAAGGAAGAAGAAGAGAAAAAGAGTCAAGAAAAGAAAGAGAAAGAGAACTATAGTTTTTATATTTTTGAAACTTCCGCCCACCGGCTTCGCCGGCTTTACTGGTAGTAGGGACTGGGATGTTCACGGGGGGCACGGGATTTTGACCCATGGTCAAGTGGAAAAGGAGTATCAACGGGAAGGTACCGATTCCTCGAATTCTTTAATGAGGTTTCGATGCGAGCAGTGACAGCCCAGGAAGCAGCCGGCGTGCGCCTACAACCCTTTCAAGATGCTTCCTGCTGTGGAAGAGGTCTTGAGCGAGGCTGGACCAAATGAACGGGCACATCCAACAAGTAGAGCACTTCTTGGAAAGCACAAATGTAGCACGACTTGCAATGTAAGTGAGCAGAGAATTTTGCAGATGGATTCAGGCTTCATACCCATGAATTGCCACTGGTCCTGCAGGCTTTGCCAGCCAATTCTCATCAGACCCTCTCCGGTCGCGTGCGGATACTGCTCACGCGGGTGTCCTTCAAGTATCCTTTCTTGACAGCTGAAGTGGTGAACACATTCAGCAGCACAGAGGATGTTTTTCATGCGCTCCGGGCTTCATGCCACGTGCCGAGTCTGGGCAGACTAGAGGGCCCTTGAGTTTGCCAGCCCAGAAGACATGAAGCTAAGACGGCCAATTTCACTTCCTGTGCGGCAGAGGGAGTTGAAAGTCGAAAGCGCCTCGTGTTGGAAGTCGTTTCTGGTAATGTGCTCTTTCTTGCCGCCGCAGGCGTCCGAAGTTGAAATGGCGCCCGGCTGTTGACAAAAACTGTGCTCAGCTGCGTTTGGCCCAGGATTGTTGGCGGCATGGGGCCTTACTGCTACGACAAGCACGCGTACTTCGATGGTATGTTCTGGCCACAAGTTCTGGTGCCCTGGAAAGGCCGGGGGAAACGGGTGCAGGCAATAGTGTGCCTGCTTGAATATGTTTTTCCCCCCTCCCCCCAAGTGAACAGTTCCTGTTTAGTTGGGTTTGGGCATCTTGATATCTTGAGTTGGGCCATTAGTAATACTGATTTTAGTACCGGTCATGGGATTCCAAAGCGATTTTGTGCAGTTTGAGTCGGGCCCAAGCCAAGCACCCGGTAGAATCAGAAGTTCAGAAGCGCCTGAGAATTTCCACCAACACCAGTTGATCCTGAAAACAGTGCCATCAAAGGTGCCCCTTGTGGGGCTGGTTTTTCTTTTTGTTGTTTTGTTTTTAGAGTTTGGGAACCCTTCCAGGCGGTTTCCTTTTGGTTTCATTTCAAAATCCAAAAAGAGGTCCTCGATTTTGATACACACCCACAATATGACAAGATATGAAAAGATATGCACAGAGACATGGGCTCAGTTCTATGATTCCGGACCCCACAGTCACAGATCCAACGTTTTTTTGGGAAGAACCTTCTATAGCGCATCCCCCAAGAAAAAGCGGGTCCGACATTCGCCTATCTCCATTTCTCACTTGAGAGAGCCGGTTTTTGTACTTTTGGCCGAAAAGACTGTTCGAAAGTTGCTCCCAAAAAAAAGCCGGATCTGTGACTGTGGAGTCCACGAATGGTTGATCTTCCGCGGTCAGCGCCTTTTTCAGCGCAGCATTTTCCTCCGCCGGCGACCGGAGCGCCGGGAGCGACCGGAGCTGCGCGTGCGAGGCACCGGGGCGGACTTCGTGGTGCGCGTAGCGGCGCTGCTGCGGAACCTCTCCAGCGACATCAAGGCGCCCCTGGTGCCGGCCTGGTGGCCCCCTGTCCGCACGAGTGAGTCAGGCCGCACGAGTCCGCATGAGCCGAGCCTCCAGAGAACGTAGGCGGTATGCGGTGTATGCGTCGTTGAGCGCAGTGCGGTGTGTTGCATTTGAGGTCGATCTTTCCACCCCAGGAAGATGTGTTGCGAGGCCTGTATTGGCAGGGCCACAAGCTCAGTGGCATCATTGCGACAAAGATTTATGACTTGTTGTGTCCAGCGAGACATGGTCAATTTTTAGCAGGTCTTCCCCATACCAAGGATACCGCGACGCCGCCCGCTGGTTTGCCAGAAATCCGGAGGGCACGTTTGACTGCCTCTCTTGCAGGGCATCTGCCCTTGGGCTGCAAATCCAATGCTGCTCATGATGCCATGCTGCATGCAATGCTCGCGTGAGGGTCAGTAGGCGCGTAAGATCTCGAGCATGAGCTTGCCGGACAGATTCGCCTTTCCCCGCGACTCAACCGTGCGCCGCACGAATATAGCTGGCTGTGTCTCAATTGTTGAGGGTACCCTTTTTTGGTAGAAAGCAACAAGAGGAAACCCTTTTTGGTTGTTGAGGGTACCCTTTTTTTGGTGTGGTGAAGCGGAATTCCACGAAGGCCAGAAGCACCCCCTTTTTCAGGCCACTCCCACTGGCCTTCGCCGGCGCCCCTCTGGCAAAGGCGGGGCTCTCAAGCTCCGACGTGGACCAAAGCCTGCGGCCCGAGTTCTGGTGGGTTAAATTTGGCCTATGCCAAAAAGTTGGACCATGCTGCAAATTATGGATTTTGTCTAGTACACAGCTGATGGGAGGCGAATATGGTCAAAAAGTCTCCAGTCTATGGGAGGGACATGGGGGGATATGGGGGGGCTAGTTTTGCGAAACGTTTCAATGAAAACCTGAGATTTCGCCATCTCCTTGCCACAAACACTTCGCGTATGTTTTATTTGAGCGAGCGCCAGGTCGGGAGGCCAAGGATGCGGCAGAGGAGCTGAGTGAGGAGAACCAAAAGGCCACGGCATGGTGGCTTGGACTGGAGTCGTCGGAAGGTCGGTGGTCTGTCGGCATCGAAGAAGGGTGCGTTTTAAGGTAGAGAATCAACAAGTGTCATTCGGCCATTCTGGTTGTTTCTGCAGTACGCCAATTTTAGACTTTGACCTTGGAGCTGAAGAAAAAGCTTAGATTCGGCCTGTTGTGGCAGAGGATTAGTTGGTCACATGGCTTCCTGAGGGCTCCATTTCAGTCCGAGGTCCACGTTGCAAAAGATGCTGACAAAGACTCCAGCAGAAGCTCCCCTCCCTGATGTCGATCCGGTTACTGGCCGCTTGCCTACCAGTGGCTGAGAGGTCGGGGGGCGGATCATCGAGTCCAAGCGGCTTGTGAAAGCTGAGGCAAATCGCCAGCAGATTACATCGCGATCATGGAGGAAGCAATGAGGAGGCAAACCACTTTCGTTGGCCTCCTGTCGCTTGGCAGTTGCACTAAGACATCTTGAATGCTTGGATACCGCACATGAAAGTCCAGGAGTTTGCAGTGCTGGTCATGCCTAGGTCAGCCTTGGCAGTACTTGGCTTATTCTTATGGATTATCTTCGGCTGGTTGTGAACGGCTTGCCGTGCATGGTCAGCCAGCGTCACAATGCAAGCCATGTTGGATCTTCCCACAGCAAACAGCATCCGAACACAAATCTACCGAGGCGTTACCCTATGTCCAGAAGCCAGGAAAAAAGCTACTTTAGTAGAATGTGTGGAGTGGGTGGTTCTACTACCTGGAGCAAAGCCTAAATGAATCAATCTTTAATGGGTTTTGGGCACGGCTCGCTTGGACATGACAACACCTCAAGAACAGCAGCTGCATACCCCCTTGAAGCCTTTCTGCTTGTGCAGGTCTAAGTGTTGCCTATCCACAGGCTGTGATGACATGCCAGCTTGAGGTTAAGTCAGACAGTCTCTGAACGATCCCCTTGAAGTTTAATTGGACGAATTGTCATACTACAATACATGCTATAGTAAGGCTGTGGAATGACAAGTGAGCGAGCACACACGATCAAATGAAATGACAAGTGGCAGACGCGACAACACTACACAAGGATTAGACCTTTGCAGACATATCCAGTGCCCCCATGGACCAGTGCTGGCCCATCGGCAGAGTGTTCGACCGGGATGCGCGACAGCCAATCAAACTGTAGAGGTTCGCGAATAGCGTTGCTTCTGCGGAGTGTACAGCTGTACCTAACAAGTGCCTTTAAACCTGGAACAGTGGGCAAACCACGCTAGATGCGTGAATGTTAGCTGCCAAAGTGTTTGCAAGCAATTCACATTACACGGCTGTGAACAAGCTTGCGCTGCCGCAGAAGGCAGTGTTGGAGCTTGTTCCAAAGGAACAGTGGTGGTACAGGGCGCACACCCGCGTCTGGAAGCAATGTCAGATTTGCACATGTTCATGCCAAATTCTTTGCAGACAAGATTCCAGATGGGGTGATGCACGCTGTGCAAAGGCGATGTACCAGCAAAAGCTATATTCAAGGACAGCGCGACACACTTCACGCCCAGGCGAACACCCGCTGCATTGACTTGTTTGCAGACATCTTGCCAAGTAAGCGAGAAGAGGCCGAAACGAGGCATGTTCTCCCAGCACAATGGCCAGTTGGCTGGATGCCTGTGGACTGTTGTTGAAGCTTGTCAGCATTGCTGAGCTAGCAAGTATCAGATTGGGTAAGGGAATTCGTTTGGTTCGCGCATGTTCCAGCATTGGCCGGCAATCCCCAGCTGCCACATGGCGATCTTTGGCCCACAGCCAGTAGTGCGCGTCCAGGGCAGACTGTGCTCTCGTGATCATCCCAGAGAGCGGACGGTTGGATCCGATAACCTGTCGCGCCTGTTGAGGTCATGCAGGCTTTACCGGGGTGCAGGGTGCCCAGAGCATGCTGCCAGCATGAAAATACCTGAGCAAGGCATTTGCCATTTGGGTGTTGATCAATATTCCGGGCCCCCAAATGACCATGGGTAATTTGTCCCATTGAGTCGTGAAAGTCATTTTTTGTGTGGTTACCCCAATGGTCCATCGGACCTTTTGATCAACCCCCATTGGCCTTCAATCCCACGCCCAGGTCAGATGTTCATGAATTATGGCCAGGCCGAGCCTTATGTGGCTTTTTTTTTCTCACAAAGGGAGACAAATCCGTGTTGACAGGGCCTCTCCGGAGGGGCCAACATGTTAACACGTGTGGCTGCATGCAATCGCAGGTTCTCCAAAAGCCTGCCGGTCAGGCGTGGCCTATCGAGCAGATGGACTCATTGAATTGCAGATGTCAGCATGTGTGCACTTGGCGGGTCTAGCTTGTGCTCGTCGTTCATTGGGAAGAGTTGGAAACAGCGGGGAGAGAAGGACCCCAAGGGCACGGAGACATTTGCCACTCGTGAAATAGTTGGGCCAGGTGTCAGCACTGCTGGACATGGCAATGAGACTAAAGGCCGGCCTTCCGTTGGCTGTGCAAATGGTCCCAGTCCTGAATCGAGTCTCACACGTCCTGCGATCTTGTTCGTCCGGTGGTTTTTTGTCACAATAGGGAAACCCGCAGAATGGTCCTTTTGGTTTCCTCTTGAACAAGCCTGAACGCCGGGTTGTCCCGAGCCATTTTGTTTCGTAGGTCTTGATCGCCCTCGTGATTGACCACGATACCTTTGCCGCATCAATGTAAAGAATGTGATTGTTGGCCCCTACCGGGATCTTCTGGTTCTGGGTACCTCCCAAAGTGGCGATTTCAATGGACACCACCGGTGCATCGCCGCTTCGATGGGAAATCAGGGCAGCCAATGTCCTACCTCAGGCCTCAGGAGATTGGCGGGGCGCTGCGGAGAAGTACTACGAGGTGTTAAGGCCGCCATTTGGGCTCGCCCTAGGTTGGACCCCCAAAAGTGGTGATTCCAACGGCTTTTCTTTTGGTTTCCCTTCAAAACCACCAAAAGAAGCGGTACCTTCAAAAAAAGACAATTTGCCAGTGGAATCTCCCCAGATTAACTTCAGAGGGGTTTCTTGTGTGATCCAAATTGGGGTTTCATGTCAATTTGCAGGGGAGGTTTCTGACTGAGGCCCCTTGCCATCCAGCACACGTTCAGCTGCAACGTAAACGTCAGAGACATTAGTCATTTGTCCTACTGCTTCCCGCAAATGGTTTGTGTGTTTATGTGTTTGCTTTGTTTGCTTGCTTGCTTGCTCGTTTGTTTGTTTTGTTATGTATAGCTTTGTTTGCTTGTTAGCTGTTGTGTTTTTTGCATGTCTGCTTGCTTGTTTATTTGTTTGTGTTTGTTTTTGTTTTGTTTTGTTATTGTTTGCTTGCTTGCTTGCTTGCTTGCTTGCTTGCTTGCTTGCTTGCTTGCTTGCTTGCTTGCTTGCTTGCTTGCTTGCTTGCTTGCTTGCTTGCTTGCTTGCTTGCTTTCTTGCTTGTTTGTTTGTTTGTTTGTTTGTTTTTTTGTTTTTGTTTGTTTGTTTGTTGTTTCTTTATTTTTGACTTGGAGCGTACTTGACTGGCAGCATCACGGAGCACAGGAGGGTACTGCATAGACCTTTGCTGCAGATGTGTGGCCAAGCCGTGCAACAGCCTGCCACAACGCCCTTTAAGGTAAGTCGTTTGGGGTCCTCATGTTCAGGATAGGCGGAGAGCCACAGAAGGATGTGACTCAGCCGTCATTTAAGATGAGTCCCTCATGCTATTCCCCCATTCAGAAACCACTCCCATACAGAGAGGCCTTCAAGGATCCTGCATTCGTTCTTTTTTTTGCCAGTGTGGAACCGGAGAACCTCACCAGTCACTTGAACCTCGGTACACTGTACCTAGCAGCCGGGCCGCCCAGTTGACCGGAAAGATCGAGTCACATGGCCCGCCTTGGTCGGATCTTGGGTCAGACAAGCGCCTTCAAAAGCGCCCATGACAAGCGGCTGTCTCAATTTTTTTGGGGGCTGGTTTAAGGGGAAATTAAAAGGAAACCACCAAAACTTTGGTGGTTCCCCCATTTTCCCTGGTTGGTTGGTGGTTCCCCCACTTTGGGACCAGCGCCAAGTTCACCCTCAGCATTGTTTGCGCCATGGAGCTGCGCCCAAGGGTGGAGACTATGTGAGATCTTTGGAGCACTGCGAGAAGGTGATCGGCTGCATCCCATGTGTTCAGCGGCTCATCGTTTTTTTGTGCGTACCATTTGGGATTGGCTTTGAAGGGAAAGCAAGAGGAACCCAAGCAAATTGGAGGGTCCCATGGAGACAAGCATGCCCGCAAGCTGACCCCTCTTGCCAGGCCTACAAGCTGGATCCGCGGTCCACAGAGGCACGAATTCTTGTAACCTTTAGTGGGCTCAATGGAAACCCCCACAAAGCTAAGGAACCGGATGGCTTGGAGCGACCAAGATAGCATGAGGGGGCTGATCAGAAGGTCCTTTACACGGGATGAACAGGGAGACCACCAAAAAAGATGACTTTCCCCACTAAACGGGTAAAGTTACCCATGGTCATTTGGCGGACGAACGGAATAGTGATCAACCTCAATGTGGCAACACAACATGTCAAACTTTTAGCACAGGATCTGAGGACAGTCCCGTTGTGAAGTACACACAAATGTTGTCTCCACGATTTGGGGCCGGAGGGGGGGGTTTAGGGCCCGAAGTTCCGAGCTGTGCTCGAGGCCATGAGCAATATCGGCACCATTTGTAGACAACAAGGCAACTACCAAGTCGGTGCCCGAGTTTTTGGCTGGCTTGGGCTCGGGACGCACTCGATGGCATAGGTGTCCTTTTTGGTTGTTTTGGTAGAAAAATAGATGGCGATTCCTGGATTCTGGTGGTTCTTCTCATCTACCAGGGAAATCCATCTATCTTCCCTAAAAGGACACCTATGCTCGATGGCCTATTTATTGCGTGAACTCAGGCGGCGGCAGACTGGTACCGTGCAGTCCTCCGGTTGAGCCCAAACTGTGAGCCAGCGCCCAAGACTGATGACGAGCATGGCTCGATGTTTTTGCTTTTGATACCCTTGATTGGTTTCAAAGGGAGACCAAAAGGAAGCCAACCACTGAAGGCTCGTCCTTTTCTTTTGATCCTTTGTTGGTTGGTTTGAAAGGGAGACCAAAAGGAAACTGACCATTTCCTGGGGGTCCCCCAGAAATTGACGGACACATTTGTCGCCTTCCATTCCGAGGACAACTCCCATGAACCTGGCGGTCTCGCTGATCAATCACGGGCTGCAGATCAAAGCGTCAGCCAGCTCAGGGGAAGCGATGACCGACCGCTTTCGGTTTCGGCTTGAGGTCGGACCCTAAGGGTGCCATCAGATGCTACAGAGAGGCCGGAGATTGCAAGCCTCTCGCTACACACGTACGGTGGACAGTGTAGCGTTCTGCCCCAAGTTGGATTTGTCGAATCAAGCAAGAGTCAAGGTCCAAGATTAGGGTCCTTGAAGAACACGACCTACACGTTGAATCAAGAGCATGACGATTTCAAGAGCTCCTGGCGGACAGTTTCTATCTGGAAGGGCATGTCATGCAGCTCAGCACAGCCAAACATGGCGCACACTGTGATCGTAGCGAGGCGCTGGTTCACTGCCCAACCAATGCAAATGCGCGATGCTCGGTCAGCTGTGTGCCTATGTTCTAAAGTACTATCTGCTTCCACCTGAGGCATATTACAACTTGGGCGTGTCCTACGCTGAGCTGCACAAGTACGACAAGGCCCCAAAACAGGGAAGGCGGCACCTTTTGACGCCCGTGAGAGGGTTGATATCGCGGAAGCTCCATCTATTTGGTTGGACCAGGCCCTGATTAACTACCAACTCACCGTTCACTTTGATCCCCGGTGCGCGGAGGCGCGTAGACGATGCAGATAGGAAGTCGCATGGGAAAGACACATCAAGCTGCAGCCTGACGAGTGCGGAGCGACGAGCTTTTAGGCCTACAACAACATGGGGGTCATTTTCAAGGAGCAGGAGAACCTGGAGAAGGCAGGGTGTCCTGTTTGTTTGTGACAAAGGCAGCCGACCGGAATCAAGTTCACACACAAGTTAGACAAACTGCCTAGCCGTAGCAGTGTATTTTTTTTCACGGCTCGTCCAACAGCCTGTGAGTCATGCTCAATGAGTCAGTTGCCATATTCCATTTTGAATCTATTTACGGACCGAGGCCTCTCCTGTTCAGGTTTTGAAGCCAAGCCGCCGTCAACCTGACTGCCTCCTGTTCAGGCTTTGAAGTTCTACCACATGGCCATTCAATGCAACCCCCGCTTTGCACAGACGCTGAACAACCTTGGCCAGAGGCTGAGCGTGGCTCAATTTAGCTATGGATTATAGTGGGATATGACGCTACCACGGGCTCGCCAATTTGGGACCGTTGTAGCATGGCGTAACGCCAAGGCGTGGCTTACACTACTTCCGGGCGACTCACAGAGGCTGGGTCCCGATCTTCTGAAGCTTGGCGAGCCGGCAAGTCCAAGTCCTGTCGATGGATCGACTTCATATGGGTGTGTTTTTTGAGGGTACCCTTTGCCTTAAGATTAGTTTGTACAGAGGCAAATGATTAGGTAAATCAACTCATTGTTAGGCCCCCCTGTTTCCAACACGCACCTGGCAAGTTGGCGTGTAGGCCTTGGAGTACCTCTCCCGGGCAGTTTCTGTGGCGCCAAATTATGTCGCTGGCTCAGAGACCGGTCGACCCGGCAAGCGTCCTTCGAACTGAGAGGGTCCAGAAAATTCCATGGCCAGCAGAGGCTCTGGCCATTTGAATGAGATGCCCAGCCTGGCCATGAAGTGTACCTGGGTTGGACTGCTGACTCATGTCGGGATGCGGAGGCTGAAGCCTACAACAATCTCGGCTGGCTCTTTTGGGATCATGGAGACTTGGCACAGGCCCGGCAAGCAGACTGGCAGAGCGCGTTTTGAGAGCTGAATCTCGAAGCTCGGTTTTGCCAACACGCTGCTGAGGCCTTGCGCATGTACGAGCGCTGCATCGAGCTGTCCCCAACATCCAAGAACCCATCACAGAACCGCTTACTGGCCCTGAATTATTTGCCGCGCACCCAGTCAGACCTTTGAACTTGGCTCGTGAAAGGCAAGATATGGGCTCTAAGGCATGGCGTTTCCCCCGAACTCGTCTTTCAGGCCTCGGCATGTCATGACCCATGTGCCATGCCTTGCAAGTTGGAGGGATGTCTGCAAAGGTTGACAGTTGACGCAGTTCAAGAGGTGCCTCCCAGTTTTCCGGGCTCCGCAGCCGAGCATTATCATTAGACAGCACGTTTAGCCCGATCTGTAGCCCACATGAAATCAGGATTGCCACAGCTATACTTTCTGCACCAGAGGAAGCAAGCCCTTGAGAAGACTGGCTTGCGGCCAGACCGCCACTCACGCTGCACAGCCCACAACTTGTGCATTCCACCAGCGCGCTGCTGGCAAATGGCACAGCCGATCATGTTCATCGGCATGATGGTTTGAGGCGCACTGCATGGGAGTGTGGTTCTGCGAAGGGGCTGTGTTACATCCCCCAAGCTTTGCATGCGAAGACGCTGGATGTTTGTGTGTTTGTTTGTTTGTGTGTTTGTTTGTTTGCGCGCGCATGGTAATATGTGTCTGTCTGTGTGTGTGTTGCAGTTTCACTGCCTCCAGCAAGCTAGCCACGCCGTCTGATGCTTTGCCTCTCCAGGTCAACGTCCCTGTGCTCAGGAAGGGTGGAGCCTTATGTCTTCGTACCGCGATGTTTTGAGGCGCGAACCCTTTGTGGAGCAGGGCAATCCATGAGCCAAATCAGATCCAATCCGATTCTCGTTGCTGGATTGATTGAAGCTATGCATCGGGGTGCATTCAACTGGTAAGTTTAAAAGGAGGCAGCAAACCGGCGGCTGCGATAACACGCAACCGAGAAACGCACGGGATATGACATCAACTCTGGCAGTGGCTAAAGTCACCAGCGGAGGGCAGCGAGCGAGTCTCACACGCATGTTCTCGAGGTACGAGCCCACGGCGCCTGCAGTACCAGAGCTACTTTGAAAGCAATGAGAGCCGTAAAACTGTTCCGATCTGAACACCTTGTGTCATTAAAGGCATTTATGCAACATGCCTGAGTGCCCGGTTGAAACACGCATGCTTCCGGTGCTGTTTCTGCAGACTGACTGTGGATACTCGCATTTGGGATATTCAAGCCCCAGCCAAACGCTCAGGCAAGAGGCGAAAGAGGCAGGATCCTGAGCACTGAAGTTGCAACGACTGTGACTTCTGCGATCGGAGGGCTTTGAGAGGGCTTTGGGAGGGCCTTGCACTGAATTAGACAAAGGTTCTCGAGGCACAAGGTAGCTGCTGATCATATTAGCGTCATTTTTTTAACTGGAACCTCCCCCCTCCAGAAAAAGACAAAAGTACAAGAACATGGCATGATGTTCAGTTGCTTTCCCTTCAGACCAATCCCAAAGGGCTACCATCAGAAAAGACAAATATGGCAGGACTGGCCAACCTGGGTGAAGCCTGGCCGTAGCTTCGGAGTGCTGCAGCTTGGCGCTTGATATAGCCGTTGTCAAAACGAATCGGATCCCATTCTGGGATAGGTGCACCACCCATTTTAGAACCAATTTTAGTGGGGATTGGGATGTTCACTGCGGGTACGATTTGGATTTTGACCCATGGCCATATGCTACTTTACAGCAGAGTTGCAGCAGACAGTGACATGAACCACTGGCTGAAACATGTGGTGACGCGGATATTCCACAGAGAGTTGTTGCAAGGGAGGTTGTGTTAAGACAAAAATGCATTGTCCCCTTACATGTTCACCGGCTGTGATTTAAGTGGCCGGGCAGAAAGGCCGAGAGGCAAATGGTTTTGTGGCCTATTGAAAAGATCTGAGGACTTGCATTGCACAATTGGCGCCTCGGATTCCTTTGTGGATGTTTCAGAGCGGGACACCACGTGGCATACGACGTGCGTTGCCCGTGGCACTGGCCGAGTGGCAGAACACCATAAGGATGAGGGGAGGCTCTTCCAACTGAACGATGCGCTTGGCCTGTTCTGGTTCTGGTTGCCAGGGCTTGGAAAGCCTGATCCACTGGTTAAAGGGGGATCGCGTCTATCTGTGAGAGCTCAGGCCTAAGCCATGCGTGGCGCGACTGTCATCAAGACAATTAAGTCAGCCATCCGACAAAGGAAGCGCACCAAGCTCCTTTTCAAGGAAGCCGTCTCGCAAAAGGGGTCTGTGCACGTCCATGTTTGACATGCGACGGGGTTTCGATTTGAACTGTAGTACCAAGCAGAAATCATGAGGCGTTCCTGGCAGTCTTCTACAAGGGTCGCTTGGGCAGCGGAGTGCTGCCGTCTGGCATGGACTCCGCAGAGTACAGCTGCTACATCGGCGACGTGGCTATCTTCAGTGACGCCATGATTCATGCTGCAGACGCTGCAGTTCCACATTGTCTCAAATTATGGGACCCCCCAAATGAGTCGTTTCCTTTTAAAATCAACCCAAAAAAAAGGTCCCACAAAGAAGACATCCCCACATGTGCATTGTTGCAGCGTTTTCCATGTTGAACTTCTGAGGCGTGACGTTGATGATGTTTGTGGGCTTTGGCTACTTGAAGACCTTCCTGAAGGCAGACCGGCGCCAGACACACTGGACGTTCAAGTGGCTGTGGCGGTCAAAAGCGTTTTGGGATCCCATGTTGGTTGGTAGGCGAATTCGCCACCCATGTTAGAACCTATTTAGTGGGCATTGGGATGTTCACTGGGGGTACGATTTGGATTTTGACCCATAGCCAAGTAAGCAACTGTCAACTGACGGATGACACTAATCCGCTGGTTGTGTCTCACAGCCGGCAGGCGTATGGGCTTGGAGCGGTCGGATTTACGTGCCCTGGCCGAAAGATGTAGGAACAATATTCAAATGTTATCTATACATATATATATATATGTGATATATGTATATAAAATATATAAGCATGTAAACAGATGCAACGTAATGTCATGTAAAAACCGGAATGCGACGGAGGCACACATCATGCATATATTGGATGCAATCCAATGCACTGCAATGCAATGCCAATGCAATGCAATGCAATGCACTGTGGTGTGGTGTAATGCAATGTGCGAATGTATCTATGCTTATTATGTAGTTGGACCACGGCTCATTGACGGCTGTGAGTCGAAACGCATGTTTTCATCGTTTGCAAGCCCGCCAGCACCCATTGCACATGCGCAGTCGTGCCCCCGCACACATGCCGGTGACAATGATGGTAAGACTGCCCGCTCACGCGCTTGCCAGTGGCACGCGCCTTTTCAGCGCTTGAGAAGACACTCTGCGCACACGCGCAGTCGAACCCCGCGCACATTTCGAGCTCACACACTTCGGCCCCAGCTGGGCGTGGCTCTGCCATGCCCTGACATTGTTCCTGTTTTCGCCGCCTGCTTGGCCTGCCCGCTAGTCATTGGTTTGGCCCACACGTTTACGCCTGCCGAAGAGTCGCGGGCATGGAGACAGTGTCCTGGTTGTCCTGCGCGGTGTTACTTCAGAGAGCTACATGGCGCGGGCTTTCTTGGTGGAGGATTCAAGCCCCGGCGAACCAATGGCTGTGCTGTTCACTTTCGCAGCAGAATGTCATGGTGGCAGCGGGTCCTGGTCTGTCACCTCCGCTACAGTGTGCAAGAAGTGAGGGCGAGACCCTTAGCTTTGCAAAGCGCGCATGGCGTGCGCAGGCTTTGTCGCCTCTGGCGCAAGTCAGTGGAGGAGTCTGACCTTGTTTGGATTCGGTGCAGCGGAAGCTTGCGTGACCCCGACCGCGGTTTTCTCCACCTTAAGCGGGTTTTCGGGCAAATGGCGTTTTATCCTTGGACTGACCTGCGCCGCGGCCTGTGCTGCACAGACCAGACGCCCGCCTCCGCGAGCTTCCAATTGCCCGGACGCGGGATACAAAAGTTTGGCACGCTGCGCAGCCGGGCGATCGATAAGTGCGGAGCTCTGATGTCTTTTCCCCTGTATATAGAAAGGACGTGGTTTGATCTGATGTCGCGCCAATTCGCCTAGCCGCAATTGCGCGGGCCATGGTTTCGGGCCGGAATTGCATGAATCAAGCTGCAGACCTAGTTTATGATGCGACGTGATGTGCCGTGATTTGATGTCCTGTGTTGCGATGTGATGTCAGTAAATAAGTGTCTATGTGTCTAATGTAGCGTACTTTCCGCAGCAGGAGGTAACACACTTCATACGCTGCCATGCAGCGCAACGCAATGTTACATACGCTGTGTGTGTGTGTGTGCGTGTGTGCGTGCGTGCGTGCGCGTGTGTGCGTGGGTGGGTGGGTGGGTGTGGGTGTGGGTGGGTGGGTGGGTGGGTGGGTGTGGTGTGGGTGGGGGGTGGGGTGGGTGGGTGGGGTGGGTGGGTGGGTGGGGGGTGGGTGGGTGGGTGGGTGGTGGGGGGGTGGGTGGGTGGGGGTTGGGGGGGTGGGTGGGTGGGTGGGGTGGTGGGTGGGTGGGTGGTGGGTGGGGGGTGGTGGGTGGGTGGGTGGGTGGGTGGTGGTGGTGGGGTGGGTGGGTGGGTGGGTGGGTGGGTGGGTGGGTGGGTGGGTGGGTGGGTGGGTGGGTGGGTGTGGGTGGGTGGGGTGTGGGTGGGTTGCGGGTGGGTGACGTGTGGCGTGGTGGTGGGTGGGTGGGTGGGGGTGGGGTGGGTGGGTGGGTGGGTGGGTGGGTGGGTGGGTGGTGGTGGGTGGGTGGGTGGGTGGGTGGGTGGGGGTGGGTGGGTGGGTGGGTGGGTGGGTGGGTGGTGGGTGGTGGTGGGTGGGTGGGTGGGTGCGGGTGGGTGCTGGGTGGGCTGGGTGGCTGGGTGGCTGGGTGGGCTGGGTGGCTGGGTGGCTGGGTGGCTGGTGGCTGGCTGGGTGGCTGGGTGGCTGGGTGGCTGGGTGGCTGGGTGGCTGGGTGGCTGGGTGGCTGGGTGGCTGGGTGGCTGGGTGGCTGGGTGGCTGGGTGGCTGGGTGGCTGGGTGGCTGGGGGTGGCTGGGTGGCTGGGTGGCTGGGTGGCTGGGTGGCTGGGTGGCTGGGTGGCTGGGTGGCTGGGTGGCTGGGTGGCTGGGTGGCTGGGTGGCTGGGTGGCTGGGTGGCTGGGTGGCTGGGTGGCTGGGTGGCTGGGTGGCTGGGTGGGTGGGTGTTTGCTTGTGCTTGTGTGTGTGTGTTTGCTTGTGCTTGTGCTTGTGCTTGTGCTTGTGCTTGTGCTTGTGTTTGTGTTTGTGTTTGTGTTTGTGTTTGTCTTTGTCTTTGTGTTTGTGTTTGTGTGTGTGGTGTTTTGTAATGCAATGCAACGCAACGCAACGTAATGCAATTAATTGTAATGTAGAGTAATGTATGTAATGTGATTTGATGTGATGTAATGTTATGGTATGTTGTGTTGTGCTATGTTGTGCGTCCATGCGTGTGTGATGTGGTTCGATGAATGTACTGTAATGTAATGCAATGTAGTGTGCTGTTTTGAAATGCAATGTAATCTCCCGTGTGCATGTGTGTGTGGGTGTCTGTGTGTGTGAGTGTGTGTTTGTGTGTGTGTATGCATGTAACGCGTGTAACATACATCACGGTGTAATGTATGATGTAAGCAGTCTATCATATGGAACCACATGTTGTTGCAGTCCTTGATCATATGTTGGCCGTGACTCACTGGACCAAGGATGCTGATAGCCTGCTTGGGCCTGCAGTGGGCCATGATCTTGGAGTGCTTCGTGCGCCAGGACCTGCAAGCGAACGTCTCGTCGAATTTTGTGGGTTTCTAGTGCCTGCAACGTTCCACCCTCATTGCTCCTTCGGCTCAGACTGAGCTGATCCTGGACTTTCATTTTCTGCTCAATGGGAACATGGCAGTTGCCGCGGTGCCTTGGAAAGGAGAGGGCAGTTTGTGACTCCGTTCGGCTGTTTGGAGCGATTAGCCTGGAAGGTTCCGAGGATTGACAGGGCAATGTCCTTCTCGTTCGAAGAAGACGAGCGCAGTGCGTTCAGATGTTGATTTCTCTGTTTGCGTCTCTGGTCATGTAAAGCGTGTGCCCGTTTGAGGTTCTGGTGTCCTTTGGCGCTCTCATCGGCGACTTGGCATAGACGCATGTCTTGGCAGGCGAGCTGGTATCGAAGCGTTGGGCATGCCCTTGTGTGGTCTTTCATATCTAGTGCGCAGAGTTCAGGTCGGATAAGTCCAACTCAGATAGTGATGCTGGTGCTGCCGGGCTCCGAGACTTCACGGATGTTCGATTCATTGCTTGCATCCACTTATTTGGCTACGGATTTTCGCCTCAGAAGTGGTTGGTGGACAGGAATCCCGACCCAAATGATGTCCACCAAAGGGTCCCTAACTAAAACTTATGCCCATTTCCAAGGATGGAGCTGCCATGCCACATCATCAACAAGGCCTGTCGATTTCAATTAAAAGAGACACCGAGCTCAGAGCACTTGCACAGCGCGTGCGTTGCCAGGTCCTAGTGCTGCATCAGTTCGAAGCACGGCAGATATGGATGTGGGTCAAAACCAATAGGATCCCATTTTGGTTGGTCGGTGAATCACCCATTTTAGTCGGGAGTTTGGTTGGATTGGGATCTGGGTGGGGATTGGGATGTTCACTGGGGGTACGATTTGGATTTTGACCCATGGCCACCTATGACTGACGTGCGATCGGGTTGGAGGTTGGCCTTAGGCTCACGTCCTAGCCTCACTTTTTGCAAGGCTTGGGCTCCAAAAATGGCTGCGGCTTTCTGGTTTCCCTGCAAAGCCACAAACAGAGGGGCGCCCTCAAGAAAAGACACGTCCAGTTATATAGGAAAGTCTTTGCCTTGCTTCCTTCAGGGAATATTCCGTGCTATGACCCATGGCCTATATAGAGATCACTTCAAGGCCAAATGTATAGGCCCACTTTGCATTCTGATCGATGGGCTGCTGGAGGAAGCATGTCCAAAAGATACGCCCTCTTCTGAACCAACATTCAAGAGGGCACTTTGTTGGACTTAGCTCAGGACGCACAGCCGAATGTCCACGACGAGGGCGGCACGATTATGGTACATGCGGCTCCGACCAAAACAAAAGGGGGCGGAAGAGAGGATTCCCTTTGTCAGTAGCGGGTTTTGATAGGAGGATGTGAGGGATGCCTCGGATGCAATGCCTTTTTTTGGACCTTGAACCCACGCACAAGGCGCAACCGGATCGTCCTGGATGATCCTAAATGAAGAAGTAAGTGTCGCACGCCTGATAGTCCTTTCTTGTGTTGCTGTTTAAAAAATCAGTCGCATGTTGCAACTGTGTGGGGGTACCCTGTTTTGGCAGAGTTCAAAAGGAAGGTAACAGGACACCCTCCCATTTTGTACAATCCCTCTGAAGTTGAGGCACTCCTCAAGGGGGGGAGAGAGGCCCCAAGCGCCCGGACGGGTGAAATGCCGCAGCCGAGGTATTTGGCTGCTACTTTGGTCTTGCGGCCAGTGTGGCTCTTGGCCCCGCCGCCAAGGAGAGGTCTACGGTCAATGTTGGGCCGGTCTCTTTTTGGGGAGTACCAAGCTTTTTCAGAAGAAACCAAAAAGACGAGGAAATGCATTTGTCTTGGGTACCAAGTTTTTGAAGGGAAGCCACAAAGAAGTCGGGTAGATGGATCTTAGCCTGGGTCTTATCACTATGCACGAGCAACCCGCACTTGGAGCAGCTGTGGTCAGATGTGCGCTTGTCAGGAAGCGCTTCGAAGTAGCTGCTACCAGTGGGTGTCTAAGAGTGAATCTGAGCAGGCACAAAGGGGCCCTACGGCCTGCAGTAAGCAGAATCGTTGGCTGACTTTGGATGGAGCCATGACGCAGCTGGGTTTTCTATCTCATTGGAATGGTGCGGCGAGAACTGATGGGAAGACGGCATAGCATGACATGTCAAATATTGGTTCGGAGGCGGACGCGACAGATGAAATTGGATCGTCCTTTACTGCGACTTTGCATGTTTCCTGATTCAGGTCTGACGTCTTCTCTCTGATTGGCACCGTTTTCCTGTGGATGCCACTTGTCCCTTCAAACGCTTTGGCCAACTCTTGGAGTGTGATGAAGTGTATGGCCGGTGATCAGCTCGCTGCAGATTGTGTGTCTCTATGTCCGCTGGCACTCTGGACGTCTGTTGTTTGTTGGGGGTTGTATTCGCATGCTCAGGTTTTGGCCGACCTTCGTGGCTGCCGGGCAGGTGACACCTGTCAAGCAGAGCAAGGCTAGGGACCAAGCCTGGGTGTTTTTGCGGCACATTCCGCAGAGGTGTGTGAGCAAACGGAAAACAAAGCTGTGGCGAGCTAGGCTGAGCTAGGGTGTTGGCAGGCCATGGTCAACACGGTGTTGGCTCTCCTGACATCGACGGTCACCACCTTTGGCGTGACGCAGATACTAGAGGACTGGTGAGCCGGGTTCAGAGATGGAGCGGGTGTACTGCTTTCAGCCAGGTCATTGTGCAAGTGCTGGTCTAGAAATGAGGCTGCACGTGTTGTACGTATGAGTTGCAGGACGGGAAGATTGGCACTCAGGCCATACAAAACGCCACGCTTGCCGGAGGCGAAGCGACCGGAGAGCGACGGCCGAGCGTGTTGCCGAGCGTGTTTGTATCGTGCTGAAACATCAGAGCCTCAGTCATTGTTTGGCTTGCTAACAGACGCGAGGCTGGAAGTTACTCCTGTTTGTGCCAGATAATCGCCAGATCTTATATAGCCAATGGACTCCGTGCGACTGGCGGTGAAATCTGAGCCTGCTTCCCAGGTGTGATCATTGGTGCTACAGCATGCGTCATTGGACCGCTGCACCCTAAGCCGGAGATGAGAGACCGAGATTTGAATCTCCGAACTAAGCGTACTGCATTGTCAAGAGTCAGAGCATCAAAGAGGACTCATGAGTCAAAGGTCCAAGCCATTGTATATGGAGTCGTGCGGAGCATGGGGGAAGTTTCTGGAAATGTAAGGTAACCAATTCTTGCTAGGCCTTCCCTCTCATTGGTCACTGGTCATAGCATGCCCCAGCAGATGGCTGTTTCTTTTAGTGTGGAGATCTCGAAAGAGCCGCCAACGATTCCGTTGACTCGATCGCTGTCAATTGACCCAGGTTCGGGGCCGGATTGCTGGGCATGGTGGCTGGAGCTGTGTGGGAGCCTTATGTTTTGGGCTCCGGTGAGGTATTTCATGTGTCATTTGTAGGCCAAAACTTACAGTACAAGGCAATCCGCAACTGCATGGTGAGGTCTACTTTTGCTTTCATCCGGCTGGACTGGTTCCGCAAGGTTGACACATGAGCCTGGGCTGCATATGTTTGTCATCGTTCACTTTCGGCCTGTGTTATGATCCACAATTCCAAACCAATATGCGTTTGTCATTTTTTATGTTCCCCTTTTTTCTTGGTTTTCAAGGGAACGCACACCAGCAAAACCCAAGTTTTGTGAAAACAGACGAGGCACCCATAACTTTGCTTCACAGAGCTTGCAAGGCATCCGTAGACGAGGGTGGAAGAAGCGGTTTCGCCAGGCGGTGTGCACAGTCTCCATGGGGTGCCGGGGCTGCTGGGCGGCCCCTTGGCTGAGATTTCTGATCGAAGTGGATGGCTTGGTTCACTTGGTGGCTCCTGAGTGCTTTTCGGGCTTTTTGTTGGTTTAGTGGGGGTTTCCATTTAACCGGCTACAAGTCAAACTTTTAGAGGGGGATCTCTGGACAGCCCAGTTTATTTCAAGTATAGGGTTTGCAAGAACAAAGGCTAGAAGCTAAAGATGCAGGTGTTAAGTGCACGTAAGCAGGTTGTAGCAAGATCCTTACGTGCGCTGTACGTAAGCGACTTGCACCGCAAAGTTGCAACTCTTCTGCCAGAGATACCGAAGCTTACTCCGCGTAGTACTTTCGTATCGAAAAGTTTCGACTTCGAAGGCAGAACACATTACGCTCCTGATGTGCGACCCAGAACACTGGGCATGAAGTGTACTTTGTGTATATACTGAGAAGCTGCGATTTGCGAGCTGCCAAAGGGTACCTGTACTGACAAAGTTGCGAGCCGGAGCTATACTTCATGTACAATGCTGCAAAGTTGCAACCTTTGAGCCAAAGTGGCCATGGTGCGCTTCGAGTGCTACTGGCATACTGGGAAGTTGCGACTCACGCCGGAGCTTCCAACTAAATCCAACGCAAGGCCTCGCCACGTGCAAACATGTTGCCACGCACGACTCGCCGCGCACAAGCTCTATTGTTGAATGTGTCCCCACGCACATTGACTCTGAGGCGCGCGCCAGCGTTCACTCAAGCAAGTTGTTGTCGCAGAGGAATCTATCAATATGTGTAGCATGGCACATTCGTAGCGTCATGATTCGCACAACCTGGGGTATACATTCAGACTAAGGCGTGTTCTCAATACTGGCTCCGGCATTCTATAGCAACACAAACATTGCTACTTGTCTGCAGGTGGCAAGGGGCGAATCTAAGTAGCAGGCGCCGGATTTTGTCTCGAATACCGAGGTTCCATGGGACCAGTTTATTGGCCTGTGGCCTGCCAGCACCTAGCTTTGCGAATTCCAAATGAATCTTGCGTGTACAGATCCGGAGCATGACACTCAATGAGCTGGTGGTTTCGCGCAGCACCACACGTTCTGGCTTGCTTTTGCCTGTGATCTTCACACCAGGGCAGCAACGTTGCTCCTGGCCGGCTCATCTGGTTTCCTATGCGGCCTTGCGCTGAAGGCGAGGGAATGGAAGTCGAAAGCAATGAGCCTTGGGGCACCACATGCGGCTCTCCTCTGTGAAAAGGCGAAGATGACGAGTCCTTTGTCCCGCTGCCGAATCGAGTTTTTGAAAACAAGCAAGCCTGTACGGGGACCCGGTTTGACCATTTCTCCTATTTGCAAATAGTACACTTCATTTGGCACACTTGCCTTGATCGTTTTCCAGGACTCTTCAGTACATAGAAAAGATGACATCCTTGAGAAAACCTACCCAACAGCTCCTGCAACTTGTCGATCCTGGAGCTTTTGATTTGCTTCGTGGCCAGGCGGTCGAGTACCTCCACGACGACAAAGTGCCTTGGCAGTGCTCGTAGAGCTCATGTGCCAGTCATTGCGTGGGTTGTCGCATAACTGCGGCTGCGGCATGCTGAGTCTGTAGGAAGATGAGGCGCGTATGTCAGTCACATCGCTCGCATTGTGTGCTCATTCCTAAGGAGCTGCAGAGAGTAGCAGAAGAACTGGGGCTTGAGGCGAGCGACCTGCGGCTGGAGCATTACAGTGGCTCAGCTGCGCTTTCTTGATACATGAAGCACAGATGCGTTCGTCATGAATGCAGTGGATCATTCTTGCTAAAAAAAAAAGAGGCACGCAAAAGGGCCAAAGGGCGCAGGTGGCTTGCGGAGCAATTCTAGGAAATGACAGCGCTGCAAGCTCGTTGGACCAGGCGATGCAGCCTACTGGCGCAATGCTGACGCACAGCCAAATATGCCGCTGGTAGAGTGTCTCGGTTTTATTCGATGGACCTCTTTTGATCAACCCTTGCACTATTTGTTACAATGTTTGAGTCCAAGCGAGCAGAGTTGTTCGTTCCACATATACGCTTGCTCACTATTCGGAGGGAGGGGGGGGTCTTCTTTTGCAGCGGAGGCGCCGCGCGGTAGGCAGTCCGCGTAGGCTGTTCAAAAAGTTCCTGTGTGGGCAGGTTCGCGTAGGCATGTTTTGCCTTACACTCTGCGTAAGCACTCTTCGTAGGCGCTTGTTGTGGCATGGGCTCGCGTAGGCACCCTTCATGGGTTTAAACACCCGTGGAGAATGCTTCCAGAGTATAGGGTCGTTGCACCCAGAAGAAACTCTACTCACGCATCAGGCTGTGATGCCGCTTCCTGCACCCACGATTGGGGCACAACCTGCAGAAGCGCGCCCTGGCCGGCGCTGAATCAACATGTTGCGTGCAATGAAAATTGTGTCCCATGCCTGAAAGCAGAGAGGTGATATTCCGCTCTGCTGCCAAAAAGCTGACGATTGGACTGACCCCAGCCACAAATGCTGGTGGTTCTGAACTCTCGGCCAATGTTTCAAACAGTGTGAAGGCTACAAAGCTAGCGTAAAGGACACCGCGAGCAGGTGCTGGCTATCTTGTGTGTGCAAGCATCAAAGAGTATGCTTGAAGCACAGCCCGGCTGAGCTCAATACGAGCTTCACGGATTCCTCTGTGCATGCGAACCCAAGAAGCGACGGGTGGGGCGGTTTCTCACCTTTGGCCGCCAGTGTCGCAGTGAGTCTCTCTCGCCACATGGGAGGCCCACAGCGCGTGGGCTGAGCGCTTTTGCCGCGAGGCGATGGCTGAAATTCCCAGGACCCATAGGGGCCATAGGCCATAGGCCGAGTGTCTGACAAGGATCTTTATTATGTTGGCCAACTTTGACGTGTAGTGTTTGCATTGAACTGGATGATGCAGGTTGGCGCTCCATACACTAGCTGGACAAATTCCAAGGCGCGTTTCTTGACGCTTGGACCGGCTCTCGGTGTTTCGCAATGTCTATGATGAGTAAAGTTCAGTTTCCTTCCACCTGTACCAGGTGAAAGCGGCTTTTGCCGACATGATGGGCCACAAGCCAGAAATGTTGAATAGTGTCAGAGCCGGATCTGTGCGAACAATCCGTTTCAAAAGGCATCGCATGTGAGACGTGCCACAGATTGGCAGGTTCCTGGACGTCAGCTTAGAATAGGGTGCGCTGGCAAATTGTGGTCGAATGATTTGCCTCGCAGCCGCAAGCAAGCAGGCATGTGGAGGTTGATCAAAAGATCCGATGACATGGGATGACCATTGGAGAAAAAGAACAAAACAAATGATGCTTCCCGCTAAATGGAAAAGATACCACTGGTCATTTGCGGACCAGGAATTTTGATCAACCCCTATGTGAGAGAATAACTTGCCACAAAGCAAGACTGGATTCAGTCGTTTTTTACACGCCGGCTCCTGGAGCTTGTCATACTTTGTCTCACACACTTTGCAGGTGTTCCCTAGGTTTGGTTGATTGAAACGTGAACTTGGCTGCAGCATGCCAGATACATCTCACCTGACTTTTTCCACCATTCAGTGTCCGCCTCAGCCATGGGTAGTCGCACAGTTTTCGAATCAATGGCAGCCAGAGACATGGAAGAGCATTATATGATTATATGTCAAACTTGGCCGGAAGTCACGTGCTTCCAGAAAAGCGCAGGTGTCCTTCTTTTGCCATGCTCTACTGGAGCATTGCAACAAGGACCGGGCATGACAATTGCGTGAAGAGGATTAAACCACATTCTGGCTGTGAGGAACAGTTCGAGATCTATATTTACAACAATGCGTCCAGAGAAGATGACAAGACAGAGGTCTTCAAAACACTGGTGCCGGGGCCATCAGAGCTTGCTGTGTGTCAAGCAATTGCTGAGACGAGCCACGAAAGGGAGTCTTGAACATGACAAAGCCGTCAGAGCCCCCAGAGAAGTTCTGGTGCAAGTTGCTCTCTCATCCCGGGAGCTGTCAATGTTCGTGGTTGTGTGACTCATTGTGGGATCAATGATCGCCACAGTCACGTCTCAGGCCTCCTAATCGGTGGAGGAAGGTCCTGGGGCAGTCTGCTGTGGAGGCATGGGGTTTGGGGACTTGGCCGCACGTTCGGGGCGAAGAAGCCCATTGCAATGTTAATGGTGGCGCGGATGCAACGAACACTTGCCCTTACACGTGTGTGATTCAGCAGAGTGCTTTGTTGAATTGGTGGCTCCCCTTAAATCTTGCCAGCGCAGGTGGCTGAAATGATCCGGGCTGATGAGATTGACATTCTGATAGAGCTAGCAGGACACGGTGCTTGACAGTTGAAGCCAGTGCTGCACTGCACTCTGTGAGGACACACTGCTAACAATAGGCTTGATGTCATTGCCCTGCAACTCGGCTGAGTTGAAAAGGGTGTGGCTCAAAATTAAACAGGAGGGGTTACGCAGGGTTTGGTCCATGTTGCACTTACCAGGGTTCCATTTTGGTACCGGTTTTTGAGCCACAGCCAAAAGGCAAAGCAGAGGGATTCTTTGGAGTCGCGGAGTCGGTGCGGGCTGGACATCTCCAGACATGCATGCCATTCTCAGGAAGCCTGCGCCCGTCCAGTCTGTGCCCAAGCGATGCAACGCACTGTTGCATCCGATGTGGCCGTGGGGGTACCATTTTGGGGTAGGTGCACCACCCATTTTAGTCTATTTTAGTTGGTATGGGGATGTTCACTGAGGGTACGGGGTTTTGACCCATGGCCATGTCATACTGTGTAACGGTCGTAGAATTAGTTACATGGAACGCTCCCTCGCTTTGCCGAGCAGCAAGGATTACCTACATTGGTTACAACAACACTACCGGGCGCTTGCCTTAAGCGCAGCCAATGCTGCACTGAGCAGCTTCACATTCAGCGGGCAATACAATATTTCGGCAGTGCTAGTGTAAATTCACGCCCGTCAAACATTGACTTGGCCATTTGGAGGAAAAGCGTATGGCATGCGACAAGAAAGGCCACAGCCTCCTTTCCTTGACACTTGGCTTATCCAAAGTGTGATGAGGTCCATTTTTGGGGGCTGATGGTGTCAAACCATGCGTAGAATTCCAAAGGGCCAATCCCAAACGCCAGAGAACGGCAAGCGGAAAAGGGATTTCCATGCCATGCCTTGCACCTCTTGCAGGCTTGGCGCCATCGACTACAGATTGGTGGACGAGGTGGTTGATCCGCTTGGTGGCCTAGCGCCAGCCGCAACAGAAAATGATCCTGTCTGACAAACGGGGTATGGAGGATATGGCTGTGTTTTTTTGTTGGGGACCCCCTAAAATTGCGATTTGTTTTTCTGCTTTTTTATGATAAAAAAGGGTACAAAGAAGACACATCCGCATGACTTCTGAGGATCGACACTACTCAGCCATTTAGCGAGGAGCTGGTGAGAATTCCCGGGCAGCCAGCTTGGCATCGCGTTTTTGCAGTAAGTGTGGGAGAGAGGATCAGAGGCCCTGCTTAGCACAGTAACTTGAGAGTGAAGGTCCTGGCCCAGGTGCTTCTTGTGCTACACACCGCCAACTCGAATACCGGAGGTGGAGTGGTGGCCTCAAAGCAAGCCTTGAATGGCAGGCCTGCCCGCTCAAAGATGGTTGGAGATGTTTCAGCCTGTGGTGCTATGGCCGTCGGTCGAGAATGAAGTAACCCCAAAATGGAACCCTAATGGAAACAAGGGCAGAGATGGTAAATTGGTAAATTGTAAATGGTAAAAGGGCAGAATGCAGTAGCCCCGGTAAATGGTAAATTGGAACCTGAAATCCCTTTCCTGGTTTTATTTTTCACCCAGAGTCGTGATTTCCCATGAAAGCAGAGTGAGGGCGCTGCCTGCACTCCGTGGATATGTGACCTTTGGCAGCCAGCAGCCTGGAAGCGCCATGCGAGAGAGGCAGAGAATGAGAAATGGAATGATCCTTATAAACCGTCCAAGTGGTTGCCCTTAAGGAGACCAATTCCTGGGTTCATTCAACCACATTCCCTACTTATCGCACCAGCAAGTCACAGGGAGACTGGTTCCTGTGCGGAATTGCATGGATGTCGCTGGCACTGCAAAAACTGCCCAGGTTTCAGCTGCTTGGCAAAGGTGGGTGAGCCAGTTGTGGCCTTGTGGGCGCGATGCCTGCACGAGGCGCATCTGGTGAATTGCTCATGTGCCACCTGACGAGCAAACCAGAATTAGGTGCGGCCGCCTTTGTTCTTTACCTTGGTTTGGGTAGACCATGTTAATACCTGGGTTTGATAGTGACTCATTTGCTGCCATAATTCCGGGCTCACTTCCTTCACTGTTCAAGCCCTCTCCCTCAGCAGCCTCCCTTAGCTCCAACCATCCACGGGGCTGGGGCTCTTCTAGACTTC